GAGCCCCTGGTAGATGCGAGACTTCCACATCGATGACCTGTAATCCTTTTTCTAGAAGACGATCTAAGCGAGGCTTGTGGAAAGCTACACACATACCATGTGCAGCGGCCCAGGACCAAGTCGGCGCAAGGTAATCAGGGAAGTCCTCGGTAATGGACCTTGGACCGTCCTTGCGAAACATGTCATTCCGCGAAGTAACCCACCAACATAACCCAACTTGCAGATCTTCTTTCCACAGCCCCGTGAGATAGGTGAGACCATAATGTTCTCCCATAAGATTTGCCAAGCCTGCAACTGCAAGCAGCTTATCGGAGTCAACACTCAACGCCCTCCCACTGTAGTTGCCAATCATTTCGTACCATACGTCAAAGTGATTACGTCGAAATTGCGATTGGTCAGGCAGTACCTTGTCAAAGGTATCTGGACGTCTTACTATCAACCGCATCGCGTCGTTGGTTTGAGTACCCATTTTCTTGATGGCTTCTTCCTGATCACTAAATATTGACATACACGGAGTGCTTTCGCGTGCGAACGTCGTTAAGCAATCCCATTCGACTGTGTCCGGCTTGAAAGTCAGTAAACGCCCTGACAATACCTCCTCTTGAAGGATCCATCCTCTCGTCTGCAGGGCACTGTGACTTAATCGCCCAAAAGGCTGGATCGATCGGAATGTTCGCAGACAATTACTGTCCCGTGTAAGAGTTATTCGGATGTTGCAGGATTTGCTGCCCCGGGCGTCGCGTTCAGAAAATAGACCTGAATCTGTGTCTGGACCATTCGCTGCGAATATCGTCAACGTCGACTGTCGGTATATGGCTCCCATCTGAGCCATTTCCTTCCCCATATCTTCAAGATCGTCCTGTATGATGCAAAGGGCATCTATCCATAAGTAACGGTATCCAAGAGCCTTGGTGACATGCAAAGCGTCTCTGAAGGTTTTTGGCATTGTATCATCGAGTGGTAACTTTTGTTTGAACTGTTCGTATAAGCCAGAACCTAGGGTGGACAGCATTCTCTTTCCCTGGCCCCAGCAATAACTCAGTGTTAGGTACTCTGCTCTCATCCCCTTGATTTCCGTGATACGAGCTTCGCCGTCAGTTTCGATTTCGATCACCCGGGTGGGTAGTAACGGTAGCGTTTGCGACGAAACTTCTGTGTTACAATAAGGATGCCCCTTCTGACAGTGTTGGATCCATGTCTTTATCAAATCTATGTTGTAGTCAGATCCGGTGTGGTTGTCAACTGCTGAACCGATGGGAGTATATTGCTCCTTAGGGCGTGAGAAGAGAACGCAGGAGAGATCGAGCATGGTGCCTACTTCATCTGCACCCCGTGTCAGCTAGGCCTATCACATATGTTCACACATCATACCAGAGACAGGCTCGTGGATCCTGAGTGAAGTTGATCGTTCTCCATAGTGCAGCTTCATTTCGTACAAGTGTGGATCCTGCGGTTCAGGAACCTCGCCCCACGGGAGCTGCTCCATATCCAGAGAGAGTAGAATAGGTGTAACTTCGGGATCGTTATCGTGACGCATATCAGTAGACCCGATATGTTGGTATAATTGAAACCAGAACATGGCGCACACTCGACATCCTTGGCCGGCTGAGAGTTCCAACGCTTCCCTCGAAGGCTGATGTACGCTTACAAGACATGTGTCCGGATCCCAGATGAACCATGAGTCTGCTAACCAATCGGCATACTGCACGCTGACTTCCTCGACGGGTACGAAAACGAGGTTTTGACAGAAGTGGCACAGCATGGGGTATGTCGATGCCACGCCGTATGAATTAGCAAGCGCAAAGATGATGACGGAAAGGTTGCCGACAGTGAGATGGAGGAATGGTAGAGGACAACAAAAAGAGTTGAGGGAGGAAGGAACCGAGGGGGCTGTGTACACATGACCAGGCAGCCACGAACGTCATGTGCAACAGCAATCAGCCTCGTTTGCATCGTAGAAAAACCTGCATTTGAGCTCAGAAGGGCGTTCCTGTCGGGATGCTATGGCACCTCCCAAAAGTCTCATGCCGCATCGCCAAGACTACGACAGGACAGCAAGAACACATCACCAATAATGTAATGTTCAGCAGCGCTTATCGGACAATTCGTAGCATCCGCAGACAAAGCTGTCATCACCCCAAGAGGCCCTTAACTTCAACTTGACGACATGCATGATCATGCATCAATTGTTATATTTCCCTGCTTTCAGAGGCCGTAGAATCTAAAGGGTATCATATCCATCAATCATTGACTTGGCCGTATCACATCACACTCACAGCAACCTGTCATTTCGCGCCTATTCCTGACCCCAAGTATCATCATCCCCAATCTCGCCCACAATCTCCACGCCCTGCTCCTCCTGAAAAGCAACCTGCTTATTCTTCCCCCTCTTCTTCTTCCCCTTCCCATTCTCCTTGTTCGCACCATCACCAATCGGATTCCCATCCTGATCAACACCCGCAAGTTCCCTCTGGCGTTTCCTCTCCTGTGCTTCCGCTTTTGCCTTGGCGATTTTCTCCGCATACTCTGCTTCCTCCGCCGCCATTTCGCGCTTGATCCTGTCCGTGTCGGCGAAAGAGGCCTCGGTCTTTTCCGATTTCTGCAGGAACGTATTCCAGCCATCGCCGTTGATCTCGCAGCGGCCTTGGAGAGCGGCGCGGATGTCGTCGGGGTTGTCGCGTTCCTCGCGGGTGAATTTGGTTTTGATGGAGCGGCGCGTGAAGCCGGGGAACATTTGAGATATCATCTGGAAATCGGTGCCGAAGGATCTGAGGCCCTCGTAGAACAGGTTCGTGAGGTCCGTGGTCCAACGTCGTCCTTGGCCGGGTAGGAGGAACTCGTTGGGGAAGCGCTTATTGTTCTTCATGAAGCTGCGGGTTGTGAGGCGTGCGGTGATGTCTTGGTCTTCAACGACGGTCATGTCGCTAATGAGACGGTCTGCATCGCCCTCTCGGTCGATAAATACAGTGGTGGGATCCATTTCCATCTCGCCTGCTGCGTTCACACGAAACCTGGGTCCCGGTTCAACCTGTGAAGCCGCCAGCTCTGCTCCTGCTTCTGCCAAAAGTCTGTCCTGCTTCTCTTGATCTGCTTTCGAAGGGATGTTCTTGTTGTCTTCTTCTCTTCGACGTTGCTTGACGGCATCCCAATCAATGGTACGCATTTGCTTTTCCCGTGAAGACAGCTTTCCAACGCGCAGATCCCGAGCTGCTAGAGTATCCATATAGGTTTCATTGGGGTCAATCGTCTGGTCTTCGGCATCGGATGGTGTGGGCTCTCGTGGCGGTCGCCCCTTCCGCTTCTTCTCCCTGACTGCGCCTTCTTCGCCTTCAACACCATCGACCTCTTCGCGTTCTTCGCCCTCTGGAGTGGCCCTTCTCCTCCTCTTTGCTTTGGGCTTGCGACGCACGGCTGCTGCTACAATCTCATCTGCTATGCGGCCGACTTCATTCTCTGGGCCTTCGACGACCTCGCTGCTCAGAGCCCCCTTGGTCTTTCTTGGCTTCCTGGGTTTCTTCGCTGGCGCTGGAGCTTCCTCGCCATCTTGTGTAGTGGGTTCGGTGGCCTTCTTTCTTGCGCGGGGCTTGGCGGCAGCTCGCTTCCGGGTGGGCTGAGCCTCTTCTTCGTCTTCTCCTTCTTGTTCAACGTGTTCTGCATCTGGATCTGCTGCAGCGGCCCTCTTCTTGCGTGGCTGGCGAGGCTTTCGAGTCGGCGCAGCAGCTGCGGCCTCTTCTTCGCCCTCTGGAGGGTGGTTCACCGCTGCCCATGGAAGCTTCCTCCTCTTTCGCGGTTGTGGAAGGGCCTGGGGATCTGCAGTAGGGGCGGGAACATTCGGGTCGGCAGTCTGTTCGCCGGCGTTGTCCGCTGGTGCTGGCGCATCGACAGCGGCCGTAGCTTCGACCTCTGGCTGTGGTTGTGCAGCTACTCCGTTTTCTCGTTGTACCGACTGTGACGGGCCTGTGGTATCTCCTCCACTTGCAGCGACATCTTGACTCGCTGGGGTGCCTAATTGTACGGGTGGTTCTATACGACGCCGCTTGGGTGACCTGCCGCCATCGCCCGCATCTTCCAAGTATTGGGTAGTGAGACCCCGGTCTGTCGAAGGCTGTGCAGCGATATGGGGCTCTTTCTCGGCTTGTGTCTGGGTGTCGGTATTGGCAGGTGCTTGAGTGGGAAGTGGCTGGGTAGGGTTCGGGATCGGTTGCGGAGGCGCTTTCGAAGACTCGGCTGTACTGGGGACAGCTTGGGGAGTAGTCGCTGTGGCAGGTGCTTGGGTCGCAGCTGGTGTAGGCAGCTCGGCGGTAGTCGGAGGCTCAGTCGCCGGCGCATTAGAGGACTCTGGTTCGGCCTGTGAAGTTTGCGATTCGGCAGGCGCAGAAGGTGTAGGAGTGGGTGCAGCAGCAGCGGCCGGTCGTCGTCGTGCGGCTTTGGGTGCGAACTTTTTGCCCGTTGTATTCTCTGGCCATGGCTTAGCAGAGTCGGCGCCGTTGCATGGGACGACTCACTATTAATAAAAGAACTAAAGGTCGCCGCCGCAGGTTTAGGCGCAGGCGCAGGCGCCTTGTCGCTACCGGCAGCAGGCGGCTGATTGGGAGCGTCGTCGGCCGCCATGTGTATGCAGCACTCGTTCACGCCAGGCTCTGGCTGCTCGCTCTCTTTCTCACATTGGCGGGCAGTGGTGGGGAATGTGAACGACGCAGAGGGTCGCGTCGACAGACACAGACCACGCCCTAGCGCGACACTAGCTCTTGGCAGTCCACCTGGGCTGCTAACGAACTCTCTTCGCTCGACCTCCTCACCCACCGGCCTCACACGACACACCCGCCCGCCTGCCGCTGCCTCTCGTCCGCCCGTCTCCTGCGTGCCTGCCATCCGCTCCTTCATCTCCCTTTAATGACCTGAGAGCGCGCGCGTCTTCGCTGCCCTATCTCGAAGCCGGCGTCTCCTCGATGAGGCTCGAAGCCAGGACCGTCGCACCCCCATCGCTTGACGCCGTCAAGATGGAGGACCGAAAACGGCCCATTGCCGACGACGCTGCTCCTCCCGCTAAGAGGCAAGCCGTGACCGTCAACGGTGCTCGCTCCCACCCAGACGCTGACTTGCCGTGGAAAGATGACATCGAGGTTCGCCCCCCGATCACCTCCCGCCCTCCTCCCACGCCCACGGCGCACACACCCGCTGACCACTCGAATCTACAGTCGTTCCAGAAAGATGCCATTCTGCGCCAGATGCGCGAGTTCAAGCGCGAGAAGGCTACCGTCGAGTCACAACTGAACGAGCTGGAGGGCCGCTCCAAGTACCACGACGACCACCTCCGCACAATCGACGCTTGGTTTGATCAGGTCAGTATACCCCTGGAAGTTGATTGAGGTGATGCTAATGGCTGCTTAGCTTATCGATGAAATCAAACTCCTGGGCGCCGAGAAACTACCTGCATCATCAGGCGATTCCGATGCCTCGCAGTCGGTACCCGCTGCGCTTCTGTGCGAGGACACCCAGACGTTCAAGAAACACCTCTCGGACCGCAAAGAGAAGATCCTTGCATCCCTTTCCGACCTGTTCGCGAGATACCCTGCAAGCAGTCCTGAGGTTGCGAAACTCCAACAGAAGCTGTCAGAACTCTTGGTCACGGAGAAGGATCACGTTGTGCGATTGCAACGCGTCACTACCGAGAAAGAACAACTATCTGACCGGTTGGACACGGCTACTCATCGCTACCTGGTCGCTGAGAAGAAGCTCGATCGCTTGAAGAGCGCCCAAGTTCAGAAACTTGAGCAGCAGGCGCACGGCACAAGCGCGCCTGCAAAGGAGGAGGCTCCATCTACCAGTAACGGAACAGAAGCCGTCAATGGCACCTCACCCGGACCGATCAGTGAAGAGTTGGAAACTGCAAAAAACCAGGCCATAGCCGAGGCAGCCAAAAGGAAAGAGCAGCTTGAGCAGATCGAGCAGGAAAACAAGAAGCTCACTGAGGAAGTCTCAGCATTGAAGGTCAAGCTTACCGGGCTGTCGGATGATGATTATGCAAAGACCGATCTCTTCAAAGCTATCAAGAACCAGCACGAAGACGTGATCAAGCGAATCAACAATCTCGAAGCCACCAACATTTCCTTGCGGGAAGAAGCGCAAAAGTTTCAAGCAGAGCGAACAGCCTACAGGATCAAGGTGGACGATGAGGTGCGCGCTAGTTTGGCAGACAGTGCAAGCCACGTTTCGCAAGCGGAAGCGAACTGTGCTCGCATTCGAAATGCCCGTGACGAACTAGCCACCAAGAATAACCTCTTGGAAGCCAGCCACAAGGATTCCAAGGATTCTATCGAGCAGGCGAAACAGCTTGCGAGCGCATGCGACAGCCGCATTGCTGCACTCGAATCGGAATGCGAGCGACTGCGACTCCAGATTGCGGAGCAGCAGAGCTCAGGAGACCAAGTAATGTCTGGCTTAGACGACTTGACACCGGAGCAGCTGCGCAGCAAGATCTCTAAGCTTGAGAGCCAATGCAAGATTCTGGGCAACGAACTCCCGTCCATGGAGTCGGCATGGAAAAAGGCGCAGGCCATCGCGAGCAAGAAGATTACCGAGATTGCTGCGTGGGAAGAGAACATTGCCAAGGCACATGCGGACAAGGCCAAAGCGGATCAAAAGTTCTTCGCAGCCATGAAGACCAAAGGAGAACTCGAACAACAAATCCGCATCCTCCGTGCCCAGGCTACCAAAGCCACGGAAGTAGTGGCGCAATTGAAAGAGGCAGATTCCTTGAGCCGGTCACTGGTCGACAAGCTGGAGAAGCAATGTGCGGAAATGCGATCGCAAATGGACGATCTTTCTACCCAGCACCGCCAGCTGCAACAAAAGGTCAGCGAGAATGCCATCACTTCCGAGGGTCATGTCAGCCAGATAGCGGAGCTCAAGAAGGTCGTCGAGGCCAAGGACGCGACATGTCTCGCGGCAAAGCACGCCCAACGCGAATCGGAAACCGAGCGAGACAAGCTTGCTGCACAAGTGACTGGACTGGAGAAGCAAGTGCAAATCTACAAGAAAAAGAGCACGGCCAACCAGAGCTCTGAAGTGTCGACGATGGAGCTGTTGATCCAGTGTCAGATCTGCAAGAGCAAGCTCAAGAACACGGTCATCAAGACTTGTGGGCACATGTTCTGCGACCAGTGCGTGCAAGATCGACTCACCAACCGCGCGAGGAAGTGCCCGAATTGCGGCAAGGCCTTTGGCAGCAACGATACCATGCGCGTCCATTTGTGAGAGCTCTGCAAACCGGATACCCTTTTCTTATTCCCTGCATTTTGCCACATGTACATCACCAGCTGCATTTCCTTCGGTACCCTTTCTTACCAGTTTACAATAGCGTTGAAGGCGAATTTTGAGGCCAAGCACGAAGCAGTGCCTGGGACGTTGGTGTTTTGCGGGTGGCTTTCTGCCAAATTCATGGCGTTGGTGTTCGGCAGCGCAAGAGCGCGAGACAATGTACCATGATAGTTGCGATGCATGTTCAGACGACATGTGTTAGCATGTTTTACTAGATGCACGGAGTTCGTCTCTCGGTCGGCAATGTCTCCGCGGATGGGTTTAGATAAATTCCGTTGGCTCTGCGGAGCTCAGGCCTGGGATGGCCCAGAGAAAGAATGCAAACAAAGATACCATGTCCAATTTGTGTTATATGATGTGGTTCTATAGCCTTTGACTCACACTGGGCTGGTACCTTTGCTCGGTGCACTAGGCAAAGCGTTCGTTGTGAGCCAATCATGTGAGAGCTGTCATTTCAAACTGAAGGCCGGATCTGGGATGTTTAAGTGGGTGGGCCCGTGAACGTAGGGATGTAAGGCTGAAGGCGCAGGGTATGACGTTCCTCGCCGTTGCCCCACGCGACAGGCTACCATAAACACCCTTGAACAAGACTACTATAACCACGACCACAATCCGCAACAAGACCCTTTCAGACTACACCTCTCCAGCACAAACTACAACATCTGCAACTTGCTACACGACCTTGAAACCGTCCACATATAAAAACTTTTGATCAACTCTTACACTTTTACATCAACCGCAACTACCCTACCGCAATGGCCACCAACGTCCTCACTCCTCGCGACACCAACGCGCAAGTCAAGCCCATGTCTTCCCCAGAGAAGGACGCCGAGAAGAAGGACTCCAAGAGCCTCGACTACCACCGTCAAGTTCTGCAGTCGCGTCTAGACAACGGACAGTGAGTTCTCACATGTCCATATCCCTTTGTGTATCACTAACGATACTCCAGAGAGCAGAAGTTTGTCTCGCCGTCGGACGACATCATGAGCCCCGCTACACAGAAGTTGCAGGCTTTCAAGACCAAGCACGCCATGAAGAAGTAAGTTGCTTTGCAATTACACAGTAGCGGAATAGGGACTAATGCACGCCTAGATCGAAGCCGCAGACGCTGTTTAAGAAGACGAGCGCAAAGAACTTCGAGTCGAACAAGGGCAGCGGCACACTCATGTTCGCCGACATCCCCAAGAAGGACGCGAAGGAGGAAGACGTGTAGACAAGGCCCCACAGCCATTCTTGTTTAGCGTGTACAGCAATGGTTTTCTTCTCAGGCGCAATTGTCATCTGTATACCCTGTTTGTTGCGGCTTGGATGCCTTCGGATGATGGGCTGGTTCTGGAGTTTTGATTACGGATGAATGACTACGAGGCTCATGACTAGATATATTGATGAGAGGAGACGAAATGGAACAACGTTTATCATGCATTACCATCTTCAGACTAGGTCTATATGCATGTGTAAAGCTGCATGCGCCCAAATGGATACCCCCCGTCTATCTTGGGAATAGTCGCCGAGGCGCATGTTGTACCCTACTCTAGCCGCATCACCGTTCCCACGCACACGATGACACAACCACCGTCGGAGCAACAAGCCGTCCAAGACGAGATAGCGGATCTCGAAAGACGGCTACACGATGCGAAAGCCAGACTGAACCCAGACACCGTCGCAGCGACACCTTCAACCCCCGCAAACGACGCAGGTCCGTCATCACACCCACCCACCCATCCACCCAACACCCAGCCTAACACCCCCCAGCCCTCCACGCGCTCCTCCTCCTCGCCGACTCCGCGCTCCCACTAGGTTCCTTCGCCTTCAGCTCAGGCCTAGAATCCTATCTCGCGCACCACAAGCCGTCGCCGCCGTCGGCATCACAGCTACCCGCGTTCCACACCTTCCTCCGCCTATCGCTCTCAACACTCGCAAGCACATCGCTGCCCTACGTGCTAGCCGGGTACCGCACGCCGCAAGCCATCGAGACACTGGATAATGACTTTGACGCGAGTACGCCGTGTACTGTTGCGCGACGGGCGAGCATAGCACAGGGTCGCGCGTTGCTGGCGGTTTGGGATCGCAGTTTTAGGACGCAGTATGATGGGTCTAAGGCGATGGCATCTCAAGATGCGTTGAATGGGGGGATGCGCAGTGAAGTCGCGATTAAAGCGCTCACGGCGTTCTCTGCTGCACTACGCACTTCAGAGCATATCAACGTGCATCTTGCGCCGCTGTGGGGTCTCGTCACGAGTATCCTGGCTGTTCCGCTGCAACAAGCTGCATACCTTTTCCTCTTTTCACATGCACGCACTGTGGTTAGTGCGGCTGTGAGAGCGAGCGTTATGGGTCCGTATCAGGCGCAGGCGGTTCTTGCGAGCGCGGAGCTGCAGGATAGGATTCGGGGGCTGGTGGATGAGGGGTGGGATAGGAAGGTGGAGGATGCGGGGCAGAGTGTCCCCGTTATGGATCTTTGGGTTGGGAGACATGAGAAGTTGTATTCGAGGATTTTCAACTCGTGAAGACTGATCTGGAAAGCAATGCGGAAGGGATAGAATGCATGGAATTGGACAGATACGGGTGGAGGAACTTTAGGTCGGTTCTACTTCTCGAACGACAGTGCTAGCATCTGTGTCTTCTCCCTCGACGCCCCCTTCACAATCTCCATCTCCATCCCCATCACCATCCAACGCACCATCCCAATCCCAATCCACCCCCACCCCCTCCTCCCTCCCCCTCCTATCCATCTCCCCAATCCTCCCCCTAACATCCCCCAAACACTTCCCCAACAAATTCTCCCCCCACCACTCCCTATACC